TTTCTCCGGTGACAAATCTCACATTAAGGAGAACATTTTCCGGTTTTACCGTTAAAGATCTATCTGCCATGGCTGGTTGAAAGTTTCTCTTTTTTATTATTTGTTTTATTTTTATTCGTTTTCACGTCTTATTCTTTATTCTTACTCTTTATTCCTTTTTATTTTTTGCCTAGCTTTTATCCTTGGCTTTTCTTACGTCGGAAAGCCGTGATTTCTTTATACCTCTTTGAGTTAATCGTCCGTTCTCCCAAATTTCCTTCCTTTTCGAGAAATTGGTGCGGTTTTCGCTCCAAGGTTATAAGCTTATCAGGTCCATAGTGCATAAGCTTTTATCAGCCTAAAAGACATAGTTCTACGTCGAATAGTCCGGTATCTAATATTTAAACCTTCGCCGATTAGCCCCACGTTGCAGGCGCCATGTCGTGTGCCCGTCCCATTTATCGGTTCCTTTAAAACCCAGTTCCGTTAGAACTTATGAGACGGTGCATCCATCAGGGTTCGGGGGTGTATCGACGAGTATAATCGTACTAGATCCGGGTTTGGACTATCTAATTAGAATCTTGTCTTTTATTTTAAAGGTGAAATGACTTGCACGAATAGCCAGCCCCAGAGTGCTACACTTCTTTTAAACTCGTTACCTTTTGGTTAAGATACTAGAGAGAAGTCTGGAGGCAAGCCAAGCCTCTCAGCAATTGTTTGGGCTACCCGGAATTAATTGCGCCTCTAACAGCTTATGTGGGAGGTTGGTAACTATAAAATGATTTATGCTAGTCGATCAGGCTATCATAAGTTTATCAATTTATTTATTAATCCAACCTTCCAGCTGATTAGAGACTTTTTCAACCTGCAATCAGAGCCAAAATAACCTCGAATATTTTGCTTTTATCGCCCTTAAGACAACTCGTTACCCGCAAGGAGGGAGAAGTTAAAACTTCCCTTATCTTAAGGTTTCTTTATATTATTCTGTTATAAACTGTAAAGTAAGTCCTGATAATTCAGAGACCGACCTTCGACATGCTTACCTCTGTGCAATTTATGGCCAGGGCCCCAAACGTGAAGCTTTAGAGAAAACCTGAAAGAATCAGGATTATGTTTCTTTTTCAAAAAAGGTTTATTACAAAATCAAAATACAAAAATGGGTAAAGTAAAAAACAACTACTATCCCCCACGGAGGAATTAGTTCAAAATGATTAAATAAGAGTCAGTTTACACCAGCTCTTGTCTTCTCAGAATCTCCCCAAGAACGAAGCCTGAAGCACTCTCTCACTCGATCTGAGCTGCATCCTTTTATATCACTTCTGAGACTGCTCTAAACAATGTAAGAGTCACAAGTCATTCTCTCCTGACAGTTTAGGTCAAGGGGTCATCTACCAAATACACTTTTTTAGCTCTACATAAGACATTTAGTATCATTTCACTACATGCAGTATTCACATGAGGGCACAAAAGTTACATGCTGCACTCCTGGAATGAGAGCACAGGTCATAAATCTTCATATTGGTAGCAAATTGTAGATCTTCTTTCAGCATTCCTGAGAGCTCCTGGGTCCAGCTGGGCTTCTCCTCACTCCATGCCATTCCTTCTTTTCCCGCCAGAGGTGGAGTTAGGGGCGGGCCCAGGGGTGTGTCCATGGGTGGATCCAGAGAAGACAGCTTGTCTTTTGACCCTTTGCCTAGCTCTGTCCTCACCAGCAAGTCCTGAACTCCTGTCCTCTTGACCCTTGTGTGACCCTTGTCTCTGACCGCTGTTTCTAAGCCTTGACTGGTTGCTCGGGCTTGCAACAAGGCCAGCTCTTCCAGGGGTCCCAAGGTGTTCTCTGACCAGCCGAGAGACATAGTCCCTCCAACGTGTCCTGGGTCTACCCTTTGGTCTCCTGCCAGTTGGACCTGCCTGGAAAACCTCACCAGAGAGGTGTCCAGGAGGCATCCTGACCAGATGCCCCAGCCACCTTAACTGGCTCCTCGACGTGGCGAAGCAGCGGGTTTACTCCGAGCCCCTCCCAGATGACCGAGCTTCTCAGCCTGTCTCTAAGGGAGAGTCCAGACACCCTGTTGAGAAAACTCATTTTTGCTGCTTGTATCTGCGATCTCGTTCTTCCGGTCACTACCCAAAGCTCATGACCATAGGTGAGGGTAGGAACGTAGATCGACCGGTAAATCAAGAGCTGAGCCAGAAGGTGCAGCTCTCTCTTCACCACGACAGATCAGTACAATGCCCGCTTCACTGCAGATGCAGCACCAATCCGCCTGTCGATCACACGCTCCAGTTTTCCCTCACTTGTGAACAAGACCCAGAGATATTTAAACTCATCCATTTGAGGCAGGACCTCCTCCCTGACCTGGAGAAGGCATTCTATCCTTTTCCAATTTAAGACCATGGTCTTGGATCTAGAGGAGCTGATTCTCATCCCAGCCACTTCACACTCGGCTACGAACTGCTCCAGCGAAAGCTGGAGATCACTGTCCGATGAAGCCAACAGGACCACATTATCTGCAAAAAGCAGAGACCTGATCCAAAACAGATCCCTTCAACACCTTGGCTGCACCTATAAATCCTGTCCATAAAAGTCATTAACAGAATCGGCGATAAAGGGCAGCCTTAGCAGAGTCCAACTCTCACCGGAAACAAGCTAGACTTACTGCTGGCAATATGGACCAAGCTCTGACACCGGTCATACGGGGACCTTAGAGCCCGTATCAGAGGGCCTGCTACCCCATACTCCCAGAATACCCCCCACAGGGCTGCCCGGGGGATTCAATCAAAGGCCTTCTCCAAATCCACAAAGCACATGTAGACTGGTTGGGCAAATTCCCACGCATCCTCCAGGATCCCCCTAAGGGTATAGAGCTGGTCCAGTGTTCCACGGCCAGGACGAAAACCACATTGCTCCTACTGAATCTGAGGTTCAACAATCCGACGGAGCCTCCTCTCCAGAACCCCTGAATAGACCTTAGCAGGGAGGCTCAGTAGTGTGATCGCCTCTTTGGTACATTCTTGCTGTGTCTGATTTCTAATTCCAGCATGTTTGCTCTGTGATATAATGTTCTGATTACTGACATTTTGTGTACGGTGGGGTGTTCTGATGTCCATAATAGATATTGGTCTGTGTGTGTTGGTTTCCTGTATGTGTTTATGTTTAGGGTCCCGTCGGTCTGCCTGCTTATTTTCACGTTCATAAATGCTATGCTGCCTTCTGTTTCTGATTCATAAGTAAACTTTATGTTGTCTGTGTCGTCAATGTTATTCAAGTGTTGTGTTAGTGTTTCTGTTTGACCTTTTGGAATGATGTCCAGTATGTCGTCTACGTAGCGTTTCCATAGTTTTATTTTGCAGTTTGAGGGGGCGGTGGCTATGGCTTTTTGTTCCAGGTCTTCCATGAAAAACTCGCACAGGGTGGCTGATAACGGGTTCCCCATGGCGAAGCCTTCCAGTTGTTTGTATATTATGTTGTCATATGTGAAGTAAGTGGAGTTAGCTACCAGTCCTATCAGTTGTGCTATGTCATCTGCTGTGAGGTTTGTTCTTTTGTGTAAAGTCTTGTCCTGTCTGATTCGGTTAACTACTATGGTTTTATGTGTTGGTGTCTTTGTGAACAGGGATGTGACGTCATGCCCTAAGCATAAACAGATATAGGAAACCAACACACACAGACCAGTATTTATTATGGACATCAGAACACCCCACCATTCACAAAATGTCTGTAATCAGAACACTATATCACCGAGCAAACATGGTAACAGAAGAAAGAGAGAGCTTTAAAGACCTGCGGATACCCGACATTGTCGATAAACAAAGGAAAACAACAAACAACAACAGAAAGAAAGGAACAACCTAAGCAAAGAACCAGAAACCCAGAAAGACAAGAATCAAAACCAGTGATAACCCTACCATACATCAAAGGCATAACAGAAAAAATAAGAGCAACAATGAAAAAACACAACATAAACACAACAACAAAACCATACACAACAGTTAGAAACAGACTAGTACACCCAAAAGACAAAATACCAGCTGGACTTAAATGTGGAGTTGTTTACAAAAGCATATTGCAAACTCTGCAATAAAACATACATAGGAGAAACCGGACGCCAACTCAACACACGAACAATAGAACATAGAGATAAGGAGACGTGGATGTGGGACCATGAACAGAGACAATGGGGTTTATACATTGGATCGTGCATGGGACTGCATCATCGGAGAGGGGAGAGTGGGTAGCAGAGGGCGACAACGTCCTCTGCTACCCACGAACGTCCTCTGCTACCCACGGATAAACGGAGTAGGAAGTGACGCCACCATCAGCGTCAGCTCTGAGGAAGTTTGCAGCCACAAATGAAACTGTCAGCAAGGTAAAGAGAAACCTTTTCTGTGTGATCACCTCTGCGGTCCTCCTTTTTAAATGGGGGACCACCACCCCAGTCTGCAAATCTAGTGGAACTGCCCCCATGTCCATGCGATACTGCAAACACTGCGTAAAACACTTCATCAATAAATTACTATGGTCCGGTATTTCAGTAATTTTGTGCTTTGGGCTCCAAAATGCCCCTGCATCAATCAATCCAACACGTCAGCCATCCATCCATTCATTCATTCATCCATGTACACTTATACCCTAATCCCATTTTCCATCCATCCATTCACCCATCCACCGATGACGCATTCAGGGACAGACATATTGCTCAGAGCTCTGCCTCTACATTGTTAAAATTCGTCTTCCTCCATCATTTTTAGCCCGAGCTTTTATTTTGAAATCTCGCTTTGGCTCATGCAGCCCCTCAGACTCCGAGCTGAAATCGGTTCGCTCAAACCGGATCCGTCTAATCAGACGTACTTTAGGTTCTTAGGGGCTCGTGACACACATTTCAACACCGAGCTGGTTTGGACCGCTCCGAGAGACGCGCACCTGACGTCTCACCGCAGCCGACGGTCCAGGAGCTGCGCAGCAAGCGGACCGACACTAGAACCGTGACGGAATAGAACAGCCGTGATGTGAGACCCACCTGGTGACGGAACACCGCGTGGATGCAGAAGTGGACCCTGCAGGTCGGCGTCCATCCTCTCCTGATGCTGCTCAGCCTGGAGTCAGACTCAGCTTCCGGTTCCAGCATCCGGTCCTCGAGAGGATAAAGGGAAGATTCCGGTGATTTATAGCAGCTGGAACCGTTCGCTCAGTCTGTGAAATATTAACCTGATCCACATGGTCAAGCACTGGACACTTGTCCTCATAGATTGTCCTTGTCCACATCTAGAGCACCGCTCAGTGTTTTTGTTTATTTAATTTAATAGTCTAAGTACCTCCGCTCCTGCTCTGACCTTTCATCCACCTCCTGTTAAGTTTCAGCTGAGACACAACTATGTGGACAGAACCATGCTTGAATCAGATTAAGTGACTTTCATTAAATTGTGTTTGAATTGAGACCGTTTTAATACGGGTGTGGACAGTTGGTGTTTAACGTGTTTTCAGATGAAAACAAACAGGTCTGATGGGATCAGTTTGAATGTGGGACAAATGATGAAGACAGAGATGGACACTTTTATTTCAACTAAAATAATAAAGTTGTCATGAATACACTCTTGTTTTTTTTTTTAATAAAAACTGGTAGAAACTCAACTAAACTGTTGCTTAAATGCTGACCTGGAATAAAATCTAGCATCAGCACACTGCTGATCATAGTGGCCCAACCGATTCTTCAGTTGGTCCCGGTGTCTATCTGCTCTGAGCGTGGGGGACACACACATCAGGACAGTCTCACACTCACTCATTCTCACCTGAGTCTCCAATCAACCTAAGGAACCCAGAGAGAACATGGAGAACATAATTCTACCAGAAAGGCCGCAGGTGATTCAAACCTGCAACCTTCTCAGCTGACAGCTAGCTACCATAGCTAACTTTAGCAATGACCCACACCAGTTCACATGGTAGCACATTAACCTGTAATACTCTCATTACTACTACTACTCTCACAGTCCAAAAACATGTCACCAGGTTCTTTCGTTAACATAAAGAATTGCTACTCAATCATGGGGCGTGCCCCCATGGGTCATCAGGGTGTGTGGGCAGAAGGATCCTGCATCTTTTTCATGCATGAGCGCTAAACAAGCCTCCAGTCATTTATTAGCAGCAGTGACTTGTAACATGCTGCCTGTTTAACCATGCAGAAGAAGCAACATATAAAGTCTATGATTCAAAAAACAATGGCACCACATTAGAAGGCATCAGACAGGGAGCCCTTGATTATTAATTAGGGGTCAGCTCGTGGCCGTAATGTGGAGCGATCATGTGTTTTTCACAAAAGATACAGCAATGGTGGTCTAAAGAAAAATTAAATTACTAAATGGGCCTACTATAAAAAAACAGAACAAGCAAACGCTTCAAGTGACAACATAAGCACATTAAATAAAAACATAAAAAAGTAGAAGCTTATCGTTATTATTCATTATTAAGGAAATGTTTAAGACCACCAAAGAGAAAAACATAAAAAGAAACAGAATGAAAAACGTTTTAAAAGGCAAATGACAAGCAAACACTTGAAATGAAAAGGAAAATAGTAAAAGATCAAAGGGAAATTGCAGCTTATCGGAGAATTGTAAACTTACCAAGGGGAAAATAGAAAGAAAAATAGAAACCTGATGAAGACATTTATACAAGAATCATAACAAGCACACATAAACACTTAAAAGGAAAACAAAAGTAAGTTCAAAGACAACAGGAACACATCAAGTTCACCTCGAAGAATAAAAATCCATTTCATCCACAGTCGCAATGAAATATCGAGTCTTTTCCAGTAAAGTGTCTGGTTTTAGCTCTGCGTGTGGCACTCCGGTCCAGTAAGCGGCGGTAAAACACTCACCTACCGACATACACACGGTAGAAGAACGCGAGGTCATTGTTTTGTCCTTCCGGAGCCACCGTAGTCCTCGTAATGTTTCTGATAGGAGCAGTTTTCGCGCTTTCCGTGTTGTGTTTACTTTTTATTGTTCGGTTTTGTATTGTTCTGAAGACTGGACCCAGCTGCAAGCCCGGAGACAAAGGCTATGTTTCGGTTCTTGTCGTGGCGGGATCAGGTAACGTTAAAACAGACACTTGATCGTGGCCGCCATCTTACCCAGGCTTTATTTACAACAGAGTGGGTTACTGCGCATGTGCGTGATTCCACAAGTTTACATCTATAAAATAAAAACTTTCACTGGGCAAATGTTCATCCATCAAGCAGCTTGTGTGTGTGTGTGTGTGTGTGTGTGTGTGTGTGTGTGTGTGTGTGTGTGTGTGTGTGTGTGTGTGTGTGTGTGTGTGTGTGTGTGTGTGTGTGTGTGTGTGTGCACATCCATACTGACAGGGTGAGGCCAGGTTGTGAATGCATCACCTGTATGAGTGTGGATAACACATTGCAGACTCCATGGTTGTGTGTGTGCAGGTGGACACACCACAGAGATCCTGCGTCTGATGGAGCACCTGTCAGCAGCCTACTCCCCTCGGCACTACGTGGTGGCTGACACCGACCGGATGAGTGTGGAGAAGATCTGCACCTTTGAGGGCTGTGATCCATCACCATCTCAGGTCAGATTTATGAAACATCTGGAATGTCCCTTTAAGTCAGGACAGTGATCAGTATTTTTGTGCCCCTGGACCAGTGAGTTTTGTTACAGTGGAGCAAATGGACGCCTGGATAATTCGTTAGTGATATAACTACTCAGGCGTGAACGTCACAGAAGGTGATAGATGGTGTGTAGTGGGCCCACCACACGGTCCTGATGTAGGATCCTTTATGTTCTAGTTCACCGTGTGTCGGATCCCCCGGAGCAGAGAGGTGAACCAGTCCTGGGCATCTTCTGCTGTCAGCACCCTGAAGGCGCTGCAGTACTCCATCCCGCTGGTCTTCAGACTCAGACCTGACATGGTGAGTGAGCCCGACACAAGCTTCCCCATGTGGGTCGTGTTCTCTTCACCTCAGAAACCATAGATATAGATTATATATGGATCACCAGGATCTATGTCCTACACCATTACTTTGACCTGTTTGTCTCAGAATCCACGACTAAGCCCTCTCCCTCTCTCTGTGCTTCCAGGTTCTGTGTAATGGCCCGGGGACCTGCGTTCCCCTGTGTGTGGCTGCACTCCTGCTGGGAATTCTCGGGATAAAGAAAATCCTGATTGTGTATGTGGAGAGTATATGCCGGGTGCAGACGCTGTCGCTGACGGGGAAGATCCTGTACCTGCTGTCGGACTATTTCTTTGTCCAGTGGTCTTCTCTGAGAACCAGGTACCCCAGGTCCATTTTCCTGGGGAGGATCGTGTGAAGGTGCTGACAGGTCTGGGAAATGTTCGTGCCCTTTGAAAATAAAAAACCCAGCAGCTGTTCCACAATCTGATCTAATGAAGCCCCCCCCCCACCTGAGGGTAACCCTGGAGACCGCCACGGGACAAACGGGTGAGAGTGAAGACGTGGTGGAAGCTAGTTTGATTCTCTCCATCCGTGGATCAAATCCACCTGGACAGATGGTTCTGTGGTCCAACCACTCCGGGTAGTTACGGTAGCAAACGGTGGTCAGCTTTTTTTAATGATTACAGTTTACAGTTGTGATGTTGGCAGAATAAACGAAAACCTTCTAATTCCTCATTCTGGTGGGGGTGGTTAGAATTTGCTACCAGATTAATGCATGAATGAGTGAACTAGATTAAGAGAGAGTTGCATAAAACATTTATTTACTGGTGAAAGAGTTAATGAGATTATCTGTGTCATCGGGTTTTTATCCTCGAAACAAAGCTGCATGGCAGTACAGCTGCTAGGGGGTTGCAGGTGCAAATCCCAACTGTAACACAGAAGATATAAAACACAAACCTCTGTTCTGGCTCTGGAGTAACCCTCAGCTGTAACTCCGACTCGCTCTATGGGCCGTTCCCATCTCTACCTGGTTGGCCCCGACCGGATAGCTCCAGTCGGCCCCAGCCTGGCCCGGTTGATTCCACACATCCATGCTTGGGTATGCAGTCGGAGACATTTTCAGCTTCTACGTAATCAGCATGATAATGAATGGAGCATGCCTGAAGTCCATGTGGGCTGATTCTACCCACCAATCAGAGGCTTGCTCTAATGGAAGGTGTGCTGGCCCTGGTCGGCCTGAAGCCTGGCGTACGCTGTGCGACTTTTTCACTTTTTTGAGCCGATTTTCCACTCGTGCGAGAATCCACAAGATTGGGGCGAGTTTTTCGCTGAGCGTCGTGTAGTGTACGTGATCAGCAGTCATGAGGTCGCACGGACTTCTGGAGTGTTTGATATTTTGCTCGTCCCTCGTGAGGGTATCACACTGTTGAAGCGGCGCTGCGAGCAGCTGCGACCCAAAAAGTACCAGAACCGCTCACGGCGCATGTGCAATCCTGCATCAACACCGCTCGCCCGCTATTTCCCTAATAACACACGCTGTTTGTTTTTATTTCTACACGTTTTTTTTTACACACAAAGACTGTCAAGAAAGCGTGTTTGTCGTGTTCATGTCAAATTAAACTGATAAAAAAACACAGATTTACTTTCTTTATTTCGTTTTCCTCATCCAACCCTCATAAATCCCTGTGTGTCCTCCTGCAGCACTCCTGAAGGACAACAGGCAAAACAAGACAAAAAAGTCTGACGTGTTGAGTAAAAACTGCTATTTTTAGCATATTTTTAGGTCCGACGTGTTGCTACCAGACGTAGTGTGAGCAGTCAGGTCGCATCCGAGAACTGGGTCGTACAGTGTGAGCGCATGACTCGTGAGATGTGCCCTGCGAGAAAGTCGTACAGTTTGAGCTGAAGCTGAGTGCTACGAGTGAAAAAGTTGCACAGTGACCGCCCAGCTTAAAGCAGACCACCTCAGAAAGAGGGCGGAAAAACAGTCTCGTTGCACCCTGAAAAAAGGCAGGCCACCCAGATATGAAATGGGCCATTCCCATCTGTACCAGGTCGGCCCGGGCCGGGTAGCCCCAGTCGGCCCCAGCCTGGCCCGGTTGATTCCACACATCCTTGTCTTAAGCCCATGTGGGCTGATTCTACCCACCAATCAGAGGCTTGCTCTAATGGAAGGTGTGAATTTGCTGTCAGCAGTGGGTGTGTTGGCCCTGGTCGGCCTGAAGCAGACCCCCTCGAGAAGAGGGCTGAGAATGAGTCTTGGTTGGCCCGGAAAAATACCAGGCCACCCAGATATGTAAACAACCTACGATACCCGGCCCGGGCCAACCCGGTACAGATGGGAATGGCCCATTGGTGGCCTGCCTTTTTTTCAGGGTGCAACGAGACTGTTTTTCAGCCCTCTTTATGAGGTGGTCTGCTTCAGGCTGACCAGGGCCAACACACCCACAAATGCACACCTTCCATTAGAGCAAGTCTCTGATTGGTGGGTAGAATCAGCCCACATGACATGGGCTTAAGGCATGCTCCATTCATTATGCTGATTACATAGAAGCTGAAAATGTCTCGGGCCAGGCTGGGGCCAACTGGAGCTATCCGGGCAGGGCCGGCCAGGTACAGATGGGAACGGCACACTAGACTCCAACCCCGCCTCTTCAGCTGCACTAATTTCATTACCTAGTTCGTGCACATGTGGGGGGGGGGTCACCCTTACACACCTGGGGCTGTGAGGTCATGACCTTTAGAAGACCCAAATGAGAGGTCTTCCCATCGGATCCAGAAGCCCCTTGAACCTGTGGGCCTCCAGTTCAGAGGTGTTCCATCCAGAACCAGAACTCTTGGATCGAGTTTCCTCCCGATATCGGTTCTGTTGGCTGATCCGGTTTAGTCAGTTTCTGCCGCTTCATCCGAACCGGGTCGTCCCTCGGGCTCTGATTGGCTGTCGTTACGTCAGTCAGTGAGGAATCTCTGGCATTTCGCTCCCTCCTGACTTCAGCGTCGGACCCGAACTTTGGTTCTGCTGCTCGTGTTCCGTTGGGATTGGACCCAGAAAATGACCCATTTCAACAAGGGACCGACCTACGGACTGTCAGCTGAAGTCAGAAACAAAGTAAGTTCTGATCGGATTCCGGTCCAGTTGGAACGGTCCGAACCACAGCTCCTCGGTGTCGGATCCATTCGGCCTCTGCGGCTTTGGGTCGGAACACCAGAGAATGTTACGGTCCTGGTTTGTAGTGCAGATTTTACAACTTTCGGAGTTTCTCTCCAAACAAACGGGTCGATAGAACAAAGAGCTGCTTCTGCTAGAGCAGCAGAACCAGAACCGGACCCGCTCTGGAACCAGCTGAGGGCCCGGCTAGAGGTTCTGGCTGAAAGTAGAACCGCGTTTTTGTTCCTGAGCTTTAAGATGGAGTTAGAAAAACACACCGATACATCTAGTGTGAGTGCGCGTGCACGCGGCAGTGCGTGAACTGGGCCCAGTTGGCTCTTTGTGCCGGCCCAGGTCCCAGTTTGGACCTCCTGAAGCAGCGGTTGGTTCTGGTCTACTCAGGACCCATCACCTCATGAGCAACCAGACAGATGGACCAGAACCATATGTCCTAGAAGAGTTCACACATGATCATAGAGCTGATCAGAACCAGAACCACCACCAATCCATGCATGGGACACGTTCCTCATTGGGAACCAGAGTTTATCAGAATTAAAATAGATATTCGGTTCCGAACCAGAGTCCAGATTCAGCTACCTGGTCCTAGTTGTGATGGATCACAGGTGAGCTGCTGGGTGGGCGGAGTCCCTGCTCTGAAAGTGAGAGACCATCGAAAGCAGTTGTTCTCAACCCTGGTCCTGGAGGTCCAGCATGTTTTAGTTTTAATCCTGCTTCAACACACCTGATTTCAATCAGCAGGTGTAGGCTTCTGCAGAGCTTGATGAACTGCATGGTTGGAGCAGAGAAACGACTAAAACTTGCTGGATTCGGCCCTCAAGGACCAGGATATAGAGCCTTTGGTCTAAACTAGATTAATCGGGGTGGGGGGGGGGGGGGGGGGGGGGTGACACGATGAGTCTAGAATATTGAACCTTTCCACAATATTCTAATGGTCTGAGATTTTGAATGTGGGTTTTTCATCAGCTGTTGAGCCTTAATCACAATTATAACAAATAAAGGCTGAAACATCTGGCTTTGCACGAGTCCATCTCATAGATTAGTTTCACATTTTAAGTTGAGTTACTGACATAAATTAACTTTTGCACCAGATTCTAATTATTCCTGTTTCACTTGTATGAACAATAATCTTACTTGGTGTGTTAGTCCAAAAACATTTTGACTGCTGCTGTCCATCCCTGTCTTCTGTCTCCATCATAGTTATGTGGTCAAAAGACAAGTTTGGTTTACACCTTTATCTGTTAGTGCAGCCTACTGAACACCAAGCCATTACCATTTAATGGTAAAACCAACAAAATCAGAATTAGCTTGTTTTGGACTAGCTTAGAGGTTTAATGGACGTGGAAAATTACATCCATCATAGCCAAAATTGATATGCTAAAAAATGTGAGCCTTATTTCAAATTATTCTCAAGGAGCGTAATGAAAGTTATTAGTGCTCCATGTTGGCAAGGAAGTACATGTACTTGGCTAGAAAATGTCTGGTATTGATGCATCTGTTAAAATTTTACCTGTAACTAAACCTTTAACTTTAATATTCAACTTTAACTAAACCTCTACCTGTAGCTAAACCTTTAACTTTACCTTTAACTAAACCTTTAACTTTAAGTAAACCACTACCTTTAACTTAACCTTTACTGTAACTAAACCTTTAACTTTAACTAAATATTCAACTTAAACTAAACCTCTACCTGTAGCTAAACCTTTAACTTTACCTTTAACCAAACCTTTACCTTTAACTAAACCTTTACCTTTAACTTAACCTTTAACTAAATCTTTACATTTAACTAAACCTTTACTTTTAACTATACCTTTACCTGTAACTAAACCTTTAACTTTACCATTAACTAAACCTCTATCTTTAATTAAACCTCTACCTTTAACTGAACCTGAACTGAATTAGTTTTCCTTAAATATTTATCATCAATCTTAATTTGAGCTCTAGACAGAAAGCCCCAGTCCTCTGTACCCATGTCCTCTACCTGAAATGGGTGAAGTAACAAGTACGAGTGAAATCCCGGATCTGAAAGAATGTGGGTTTTTATTAGAGGGGCCCGTTTGTTTAGATCCTGTTTCCAACTCCACCATGTGAAAGGTCACAATGGAAATGTTTCTCCTAACAGGATGTGACTCATCCAGACTTCCACAAGTGATTGTGCCTTTCATAGACATCAGTCAGGCATTCTCCACTCTAGTCAAAGTCAAGATTCAGTATCGGCTGAAAACAGTTCTCAATAGTATCCATTCCTGTGCAGCAGGGGTGCCCCATGAGTTTAATGCATCGACATGAATATACTGGACAATTCATTTCCATAGGTTCCAATAACACGTTTTTGAGGCCAAATGGGAGGTGGCCACCACCGCCATTTTGACCGTGTCACAGGTTCCGTCAAACCCAGACAATTCCACAAAAGGGAAGAGAGGTGGAGCTGAGGGTGGGGCTGTAAGGCTGGGATCAACTGACGACACCCGGTCGAACTAGCTACAAGCTAACCTGATGCTAACCCAAAGCTAACGCGGAGGTGGGAGCAAAGCTAACGGAGGTAGCAACCTAGCTACAACTGGAGTTAACTGTGCACAACACCAGAGATTCTGAGTCAGAGATACGCCGGGCTGACCGCTGGGTAAAACCGGGTGGAACACAGAGGTCTCCGAGACCTCCACAAGCCGGCAGCCGCACAGCAGACAAGCACCGCTGCGATCTGAGATGCGCAGAGCTGCCGCTGGGGAGAACCGGGTGGAAAGGTTTCCATCCCAGAGCTCCACAAGCCGGCAGCCCATGCAGCAGACAGAAGCCGCAATCAGACAGAGATGCGCCGAGCTGCGGGGAGGGGAGAACCGGGTGGAAAACATCGGTCTCCCGAGAGCTCCACGAGCCAATAGTCGGAACCCAGCTCCACCAACATGTTATATTCAACCCATTTTCTAAAGTGCAGCATCATGTTAAATGCACTGGGTTTTACCCTATTACATTTAAATTTCATGGTTAAACAGTACATGTTAAAACCTAAGCTCAGCTCGGCAGTAACCTAAAATACATAAATATAATTTTACTTACCGAAGAAAATGAAGTGGAGACTCCTTGGACGCTCTATTAGTGCAATTAATGCCACAGCAAGTCATTTTGTCCAACAATTGCACAAAAAATATCCAAAAAAGAATACACAAACACAGAGACTCAAAATCCTGGAACAGTTTCCAAGCCAGACCGAGGCTCTACTGAGGCCTTTCCACGGAGCAAGCTCTGTGGTCACGTGGGTCTGATGCTCATTAATTATACAGAATTTTAGGCTTTTAATACACTTAAACAGAAGAGTGAGCAAAAAATTCACCCCCCTCAGAGTTGTCATGAGTGTAAACTAGATCATTTAAACCAAAAACATGTTCTGGTACCAGGCTGTAAACATGTTTATTTCTGCTGTGAAATTGGTATTTTTAACATGGGAGTCAATGCAATGAGGATTTGCTCGCTTCTGACACCAGCCCCCAGTGGATGAGGGTGGAACTGCAATTTTTGGTACTTCGGGATTGCTTCAATTTTTGAGCCGCATTGTGGGGGCTTGGTTTAATGTAGTGGTAGTGCCGGTCGATAGCAAGACATAAAAATACAGACATAATATCAACTGGAGTCGTGAGTAGATGTAAAAAAATTGTTTAAAAAGGGCAAAATGCAGCACCAGGAACCTATAGTGTTTTGGTGAACTCGCTCGGCTACGATAACACTCCACCACCACATGTGCACAATCATTTTACATTGGATTGATCACTTAATGCTCTCATCAAAAGTAGCTCACAAGGGAAAAATGTGAGGGAACCCTCCTGTTGAGAAGCCACAGGCATGACTGATCAGTTCTCCTTTAAAGGTTTGTTAGTTTATTTTGATTAATTGATAAGTAAACAGTTATTTTAATCAGTGTAGTACTTTATTTATGTCTCACCCTTTAAGATAAAACTCACAAAGCCCTTTACAAACAGAAAACTTCTGTCACACCAGTGTCAGAGGAGGAGTCCTGGAGTCTAGGAGCCACAGCAGAAAAGGCTTGGGACCAATCCCAACACTCTGTGGTCTTCAGCAAAGTGCACTTTGAGGAAGTGCACAGTAAGACTTCTGGTGCGTAGTACACGAGTGTGTAAATAATAGCAGAATTGGGACAGGGAGTATCATGTAATCGACCGCAAAGCATGCTGGGTTGCTGGTCGCTGTGATACGTTTTTAAATGTGGCAAGGTGGAGAAACGAGGGCCCGGGCGGATTTGGATCCCACACTCCCGGGTGAGAGTCACATGCACTAACCAGTCAGCCAAAGGGACATCCCCTTGGCCAAGTAGCCAGGGCGCATGATCAATCGGGTCACAGTGACAGGACGCTCACACTGTCACATAAAAAACCTTTATTTAACACTTTCAAACAAACAACCAAACCAGCAATATTCATTGCTGCTTTGACTAAAACATTCAGAGTAGGGCTGTCGCAATAATCGCAAGAACAATATATCGCAATATTAAGAAACCCACCGCGCTGCATGACGTGCCACCGCAATTACCGCACTTGATTAAATCTTGCGACAGCGCATGCTGAGAGGTAAAGTCCACGCTGATCGAGGAGATAGTAGGGCACTTTTTTTTCTGTTAGATGTTGCAGCCAAATTTGCATTTCAAAGTTAAACCTCCTGAATGTTGTTTTTAAGTTCAGTCAGAGAATGCCGTTACTGCCCTTTGATCTGCATTCAATAAAGTGTTAAAAATGGCCATGTATTTTTTTCTAACATTTTTTAAATGTGTAAGCACAATGTTTCAAAGGAAATATTGCCATGAGTTTAGTAATTAACAAACAAATTTGCTAAGTACATAAATAAAAACGGGGTGCAATAATATCGCATACCGCAATATTGAGCTGCCCTGACTCACCGCAGGGGGAATTCCTCAATCACGACAGCCCTAATTCAGAGCATCAACTAATCATCCTGAAATGATCTACTTTCATTAGAAAATACATATTTTCAGAAAAGGCATTTGATCCTTTTCTCCCTCATCGATGCAGACTTGGGTGAAGTGCAGATCAAGGGTGCAAAAGGGGCGTGATCAACCTCAGGACACCCTGCGCACTCGCACCACTGGTCGGGATCGCGCAATTGAAGGGCACAAGTGTGGAAGTGCGAGTATTGGGATTGGGCCATACTGAAGACATGACTCAGTCACTGAATCAGGTGTTGGAGCGGGGGAACTGCTAAAGCACGGAGGCCAGTGGCCCTACAGTACCAGGAGTGGATAGACCTGCTCTAGAGAAGGGCTCACCAACTCCACCACCCTCCCTAACCCAAAGATCTCTTGTATCTTTACAGATTTTTTTCTGTTGCAAAGAAAGTTTAAATAAGGTCTCAGTCAATCTGTGATCAAATAAATAATAAACCCTATCTCCTGCACCCTGACCCCTCACCTGCAACTGTTGTTGGACCTGTTTTAATTTCAGTTCATGGTTTTCAGATTGCTCAGAAGTATGACCCCCAGAAGGAGGAAGAGCTGCGCTTCTGGATCGAGGAGGAAACCGGAATGCCTATTGGAGAGGACTTTCAGAAAGGCCTGAAAGATGGCGTCATCCTCTGCGAGTAAGTTCTGTCTATGTTCTTCCTGCTCTTTAGGGACCTAAACCAAACTGGAAACCAGTGTGAAGGTTCTGCTGGTCCGGCTGGTGTCTGCAGACACGGAGAACAGTGAGAGTGTTGTCTCTGGCTACACAGATGCATTATGGGTCAGAAATGAATGATGGATTTTAATCAGTAGAGCTTTTCATTGAGACGAGCAGATAAAGGTACTTAAGTTCTTTATTTTGAACAAGGATGTATTTGCTTCTGTGTATGGTGGACTGCTCCACTGACTGATTTTCTTAGCAATTACCATGTCACATTGTGTGTTGCTCTGATTGGTCCTAGTGCTGTCCAATAGCATGCAGAGACAGTTTGAAAGACGACAGTAGATCCCGCCCCACGACTGAGCTCTGCCTATGGGTCGTGGCCAGGCAGCACGATGGATTGCCCAGCTAGGATTTTGTTGTCTCTTGGAATTTAAAGTCTAGCATAAACTTGTTTTTTAGTACCGAGATGTTCTCAGAGCTGTTTGTGGGTCACAGGAGCTCAGTCAGTACCGCCCCTGACCCAGTGGGTTTCTGCCCCAGCAGCAGGTGGAAGTCTCTACAGGCTTCAGAACCAGAAGCTGTTTTTCTGTCCTGCTGGAAACCTTGTGGAACAAAGTTTATTTAGCTTTCTGTCTGAAACCCTGGATCTGGTCTTGAGCCCTGTGGTGGTTCTGACCCAAGCTGGGCTGGTGGGACCATATTGGATTGCTCTGGTATGAAACATGTTCTTGTTTCTTCCAGGCTCATGAACAAGCTGCAGCCTGGTTCAGTAAAGAAAGTCAACCACTCTCAGCTCAACTGGCACAAGGTAGGACCTGGTTCCGACCTGAGATCCGTCCAGGTTCTGTTAAAGGTGGGAATTTATTCCTGAACTTTTAACTCTTGTTCTTCTCAGCTGGAGAACCTTGGGAACTTCATCAAAGCCACTCTGGATTACGGCCTGAAGCCCAGCGACATCTTTGAGGCCAACGACTTGTTTGAAAACGGGAACATGACTCAGGTCCAGACCACACTGCTCGCACTGGCAAGCATGGTGAGTACTCTCACAGAACCAGAACCTGTGATCTGTTCCAGAACACATCTTCATCCAACTTCTTCATCAGGCGAAGACCAAAGGATTGGACACAAAGGTTGATATTGGGGTGAAGTATGCTGACAAACAGGCTCGACGCTTCGACAAGGAGAAGATCAAGGCTGGACAGTGTGTGATTGGACTGCAGGTACCAGAACTAGCAGGCCTCGCTGACCGTTATGGTCAGAGGTGTCGATAAACGATCAGTCCCATAGTCCAGAGACGAACTGGTCTACCCAGGATCAAATCTGGTTTTTCTCCTCAGATGGGAACCAACAAGTGTGCCAGCCAGGCTGGAATGACAGCCTATGGAACCAGGAGACATCTGTATGACCCAAAGACTCAGACGGACAAGCCCTATGACCAGACCACCATCAGTCTGCAAATGGGCACCAACAAAGGAGCCAGTCAGGTCCAGACTCTTCCATCATTCATGTTCTCCTGAAAACATCAGTTAATGGGATTGATGGACCCAAGTAGTTTTTATTTAGAAACAAGGTTTTATTCTGAAATTACTGCTTCATATAAATGAAAAATAACATTCATTACTTACTTTGATGCACCTAGGGCGGGGCAATACCTTCATGTTTTCTAAATATTGATATAATTTCAAACATGAAACAAGATGACTCAGTTAAGCATATATAACTATTCAAACCGTGTATTTCTGGAGTTGGCAGGCACGGCTACTGCTAGCTTGCTCCATCAAGGTCATTAGCCTTCATGCATTCTCAGGCGTCTGCTCAATCAGGGAACCTCTGGGTCAACATTCTACCCTAAACTTTGTGTTTGGCTTGGTAGTTTTTAATTATTTGCGGACTTTTGTTTGTGCTTTGGCGATCCTTTTCACTGTAGCTGCCGGTAGGCTGTCCTGCTTGTGTGGACACACGGGCCAAACAAACCCCTCCCCCCGCGTAATCAGAAAACCGATACGGAGAGCCGCAGTGACCAAAATACCTCAGAAGCGTATGATCGCTGATTTGAGTGAATGCTGTCAGATTCCAGCCATGTCCACCCATACATCCATTTTCATCTGCTTATCTGGAGTCGAGTCGCGGGGACAGCAGCCTAAGTCGAGAGGCCCAGACTTCCCTCTCCCCAGCCACTTGGACCAGCTCTTCCAGAGGAATCCCAAGGCATTCCCTGGCCAAGTGAGAGACATAGTCCCTCCACCGTGTCCTGGGTCTGCCTTTAGGCCTCCACCTGGTTGGAAGTGCCAGAAAACCTCACCAGGGAGGCGTCCAGGAGGCTTCCTGACCAGATGCCCGAGCCACCTCAACTGACTCCTCTTGATGTGGAGGAGCAGCAGATCTACTCTGAGCCCCTCCCGGATGACCGAGCTTCTCATCCTATCTCTAAGGGAGAGCCCAGCCACTCTTCGGAGAAAACTCATTTCAGCCGCTTGTGTCTGCGATCTCGTTCTTTCGGTCACTACCCAAAGCTCATGACCATAGGTGAGGGTAGGAACGTAGATCGACGGGTAAATCGAGAGCTTCGCCTTCTGACTCGGCTCTCTCTTCACCACGACAGACCGGTACAACGCCCGCGTCACTTTAGGTGCAGCACCAATCCGTCTGTCGATCTCACGCTCCATCTTTCCACCACTCGTGAACAAGACCTCGCCATGTTTGCCTTAATAACTGCGAGATACATGACCCATGTGAGTGTAACCCTCAATACATCAGGGATTAGCCTAACATGATAGGTTTGTTTCCTCTGGACAACAAATAATTATAATGTGAATGATAGGATATGAGCCACCTAAAGATAAAGTTCCAAATATTTTACAATAATTATAAATGTGCCACTGGGGCATCTGAGACATGCAACTCTTAACTTAGATGATAGATAGATAGGTAGATAGGTAGATGGGTAGGTAGATAGGTGGGTAGATAGATAGATAGATAGATAGACAGATAGATAGGTAGATAGGTAGATGGGTAGGTAGATAGGTGGGTAGATAGGTAGATAGGTAGATGGGTAGATGGGTAGGTAGATAGATGGGTAGGTAGATAGATGGGTAGATAGATAGATGGGTAGATAGGTAGATGGGTAGATGGGTAGGTAGATAGATGGATAGATAGATAGATAGATAGATAGATAGATAGATAGATAGGTAGATGGGTAGGTAGATGGGTAGGTAGATAGATAGATAGATAGATAGGTAGATAGGTAGATGGGTAGGTAGATAGATGGATAGATAGATAGGTAGATGGGTAGGTAGATAGATGGGTAGATAGGTGGGTAGATAGATGGGTAGATAGATAGGTAGATAGATAGATAGACAGACAGATGATAGATAGATAGATAGGTAGATGGGTAGATAGATGGGTAGATAGATAGATATAGATAGATAGATATAGATAGATAGATATAGATAGATAGATAGATGGGTAGGTAGATAGATAGATGGGTAGGTAGATAGATAGATAGATGATAGATAGATAGATAGATAGAGATAGATAGAGATAGATAGATAGGTAGATGGGTAGGTAGGTAGGTAGGTAGATAGATAGATAGATAGATAGATAGATAGATAGATGGGTGGGTAGATAGATGGGTAGATAAGTAGATAGATGGGTAGATGATGGATAGATGGGTAGATAGATGGATAGATGGATGGATAGATGGATAGATAGATGGATAGATGGATGGATAGGTAGGTAGGTAGGTAGGTAGATGGATAGATGGATGGATAGATGGATAGGTAGGTAGGTAGGTAGGTAGGGAGATAGATAGATGGATAGATGATAGATGGATAGATAGATGGATGGATGGATAGATGGATGGATGGATAGATGGATAGGTAGATAGATGGATAGATAGATAGATGGATAGATAGATGGATAGATAGATGGATAGGTAGGTAGGTAGGTAGGTAGGTAGATGGATAGATGGATAGATGGATGGATAGATGGATAGGTAGGTAGGTGGATAGATAGATAGATAGATAGATAGATGGATAGATGGACAGATTGATTCACCAAGATCTTGCATAGATGATGGTAGAGTCTGACCGCTGCACAAAGCCTTCTCCAGCACATCCCAAAGATTCTCAGTGGGACTACGGTCTGGACTCTGTGGTGGCCGATCCATGAGTGAAAATGATGTCTCGTGCTCCCTGATGAATCCTGACGTTGTCATCTTGGAATAAGCCTGTGCCATCAGGCAAGATGGAATAACCTGGTCATTCAGGTTCTTCAGATAGTCAGCTGACCTCATCCTGTTGCTGAACCTAGACCTGACCAACTGCAGCAAGCCCAGATCATAGCACTGCCCCCACAGGCTTGTAAAGTAGGCACTAGGCATGATGGTTGCATCACTTCATCTGCCTCTCATCTTACCCTGATGCTCCATCACTCTGGAACAGGGTCCATCTAGAGTCATCAGACCAGTTTAAATAATGCGTTGGACAGTTGTGAACCAGTTTTAGTCGTTTCTGCATCTCCTTAGAGGTTTTCTGTTTGCATAAAAAAGTATTGATTCTTGTCAAACCATTTCGTGCCATTCTCTATCAGTCATGAGCTTTAGAAACAGTATAGCTGTATGTTAACATACAGGTAGGGTTATATCGTATATTAAAATTTGGCTAAAAGATATCGAGATATAAGTTTTACTCCACATCGCCCAGCCCTAGAAGCACGACTCGCCAACCCTCTTGTTTCTGTTTCTTATCTTCACTGGTGTATAATATCTGATGATGATCATGTTTCTGGAAAAAAACATACCTTAAGTATTGGTACCGGTAACTACCCACACCCACAAAGACTTGCCACCTAGATTAACACCACAGGTGATTGGACCACTGGTCCACAAGTCTACAAATCAACAGGTCTTCATATACAGGTCTAAACGTCTACAGGTATAAATCTGCAGGTGTACTGGTTTGTAGGCCTACATCTTTGAGTTTAAAGGTCTACATGTAAATCAGGGGTAGGCCATCCACGAGTGCCACTGTTAATTTTTGTTGTTTCCCTGCTCCAACACACCTGATTCAAAGGTTGAATCACCTGTTCACTGTCTCACCTAGTCTGTTAATCACTTATGATTAAAATCAGGTGTGTTGGAACGGGGAAACACCTAAAACGTTCTGGATAGCAGCACTCAACTACCAGGATGTAAACAGTTCTACAGGTCTACCATAGTGTAGGCCTACAGGTGTACAGGTCTTTAATGCTACTGGGTCTGGTCTTAGGTCATCAGGTCTAAAGCTGTATAGGTCAGCTGGTCTTCAGGTCTAGAGGTGTACAGGTCCACAGGTTCTGTCTCAAGTCAGAGACACCCGGAGATCGAGATAATAAATGATGAAATGGCTCTGGTGTTCCTCTAGCTGCTGTTAGCACAGTCATCAGTGACATGATGTGTTTGTTCTGGATCATGATGTTGCGTTCTGGTTCTGGCAGGCAGGGATGTCTGCACCTGGGACCCGGAGAGACATCTTTGACCAGAAGGTGGCGCTGCAGCCTCTTGACAACTCCACCATCTCACTGCAGATGGGCACTAACAAGGTGGCATCTCAAAGGGGCATGAGTGTGTACGGTCTGGGCCGGCAGGTCTACGACCCCAAGTACTGCGCCCCTCCGACCGAACCGGTCATTCACAAGAATGGCAGCCAGGGCACCGGCACCAACGGGTCAGAGATCAGTGACAGTGACTATCAGGCTGAGTTTCAGGAGTATGAGTACCACAGCGGTTTCCATGACGACTACACCACCCACTACAGCGACCCAAGCATAGACTACTAAAGAAGATGGCTGCAGACATAGAACCCCTTCATCTTCCCCCGTTTTTTATCTCCTGAAGCATTGAAGTGTCCCCGTTCCTGAATCAGGACTTTTGAGCAGCAAAGTTGTATGAAATATTAAAAGACTGAAGTCCCTCTCTTCCATTCCCTCTTCTAGGGCACAATCGTAGTGATAACTGTGGTTGGTGTTCAATGTCAAACAGCTAGTTTTTGGTGTTTCTAGGTTCCTGATTCTGGTTCCTCAGCTGACGTTCCAACAGACTTGTGACACTACAGTTTATTTTAATACTTAATTATAGATAAATAAAGTCGACGGCTCGGACCAACCCCCTCGTGTTCCTCTCTAACATCATAGATCTTTATGTTTCTGTATTTATTGTGACTCCAACAGAAATTCCAGTTAGACTGTTCACAATTAAAATGTTGCAAATAAAATCTTTAAATCTAGAACTTATGTCGTATCATTTAGTTATGGTGGAAGAAGGCCCAGCCGGTTCCTTCTGAGGTGAGCCGTTATGTGGTTCAATATTCCTAGAAAATCCAGCAGGAATATGGAAATAAGTACAAGACCCTCCATGGAATTAGCTGTCTTCATAGAAAGGTCTCCACATGGCAGTAATCTCCACCTCCTTGCCTGCCTTAATCCTGATCAGAAGAACCAGAACTGGTTTTGATCAACAGCTGGTTCATCAAAGTCCTGACTGGAGTAGATCTGTGGGTGTCTCTTTTGTAATGGACATCTGGAGCTATCCATCTGAAGCACGAACACCTGGTCCAAGCATGTTCACCTTCAGGTTTGTGATGTTCTGGACCCGTCTAATCTCCAGCTCCTACACCTTATCCTATTCAGAGCTCTGAGAGCTAAACCCGCTCACATGTGCAGCTGACTTCTCCTGTCCAGTAGGGGGTGGTAAAGCACCAGGCAGAGAAGGGGAAAGACCTTCAAGTTGAACACATCCATGTTACAGTTCAGCCCTCCCAGATAATATCAGAAGTTTCCATGTCTGCACACAAACAGAAAATTAACCGTCCAGACCTCTTCGAACCTGCTGCATCAGCTGAGGTTCCTTCAATGCTTGTGCTCTCTTAACTGATAGTGTCCTGAACTGGCAGCGGGAGCAGGGCTGGTATGTTGGCTGACCCATAGATGAGTATGGTCGGCCTTGTGGATCATCGTAGGAGGAGCTTGGTCCAGGCCCTGACATCAGCAGTTCCTTGGGTCCAAGTGAAGGAGAATCCTAATCCAGACACGACTGTCCTATCGTCCCTTGGCTCCACTTGGTAAATGGGGGTCGACCACCTTCCAGTACCTCAGTTTGTCTGTCCCCCACCAGTTCACAAGGTCCTGCTGGCTCTGGAAAGCCTTGGCTTGCACTTTCTGTCTCCTCACAACATAGTGATGGACATCCAGGACAAGAAGCAACGTCTCAGTCCACCATAAACCTGACTCATATGGTTCTGAACTAAGACAACTGTAGAATAGAAAACTCCTCAATAGTCCCTCAGTGTGGACATTTTAGTGTCAGGGCAGTAATTACATTCACAACAGGAGCAGAGCATAACAATAATAAACAATAAAAGGACGAACAGAGAAACAAACATACGCAAACGCACGTCAACCATTTCATTATATTTAGCATATTATAAAGTCTAAGGAGCTTTGAAAGAAAAGCGTCTGGACTTCTTTGAGTTGCTTGAAGACGTTTCACCTCTCATCCGAGAGGCTTCTTCAGTTCTAAGGTCAAATGGTGGAGAGTCCCAGATTTAAACCCAGTGGGCGTTTCCCCCCGAAGAGGGAACCAAAGACCCCCTGATGGTCTTCTACATAAACACGAGCCCAGGTGTGAGGGTGGGTCCTATTCCAACATTTGACCTTAGAACTGAAGAAGCCTCTTGGATGAGAGGTGAAACGTCTTCAAGCAACTCAAAGAAGTCCAGACGCTTTTCTTTCAAAGCTCCTTAGACTACAATGACCTGGATGACTGAGAACCTTCACAGACATACAGCATATTATAAAGTGAGAGACATGTCCAGCAGCCTTTGGTCTGACCAGATCACCAAACGTTCACCAGAAGGTTCAGATCCAGGGGACAGCCTAGCCTTGTCAGTGAAAAGAAGAGAGTGTGGACCTGTCCCCTATAGGACAGCTGAGGCAGCAGGCATGTCCACTTCAGAAACATTAGCCTCCACCTCCATCCCTTCGACAAGGTTCACTTCCAGGTTGTTGTCCTAGAGAACAGGAATTTTCCCTGAATGCCACTCACCCACCAAACGGGAATCATTTTCCTCCTCTAGACATTCTCAGTCTGCTCCCTGACTTCCTCCTCCTGCTCCTCCCACTACTCAACCTTCGTCTCCACCAGCTGGAGGAGGAGGTTTAATAAAGAAGCAGCCACTCCCTAAGGAACACGACAGCACGCTGATCACGGTGGTAAACATTTAGTCTCAGGAGTCTGTTTTTTTTTCCTGCCCTGCCCACAGACACCACTGGTCTGGTTAGCGACAGATGTTAGCCTGATGGAGTTGGTCATGAGCTCCTCAGATTTCTAACTCATGAAGTCTAATTGAGAGAAGCAGCACTTTCTTCATTCCTGTCACAGATGCTGAATAAGCAGGTGGCAGCAAAAGCATGTTTGGGACTGTTCTAGTGCAGGTTCTGAAACGGTTCCACCTGAGGATTCACCATCTGTTCTGGTTCTGTGTTCAGCTCTTCTCTAACCGAGGTGTTTCATGGCTTTCTGTTTGGAGTCACTTTGTGGTCCTGCCAACGGCTCATAAAGCTCCACTCCAGCTCCTTTTCCTTCCTTCTTGCTGCAGACTCGTCTGCTGTTTTTCTACACAAACAAAGGAGGTTCTGATCCAGCTCAGTTAGGGACGACATCTGGCTCAGCAGGCTGATGGGAATAATTGCAGGAAGCTGATTGAAGTTTTCTCTGAACATTTCCCGTCTGGCTGGTGAGAACATCTACAGATGTTTAAAGGTCTGTGGAGACTTTAAAGCATTTGGTGGTGTCTGGTAGAACGTTGAGCTGCAGTTTTACTGGGAGCGGGCCCAAATAAGGTCTGAAATCCACCCAAACAAATCAGTTTGTTTAGTTCTAAAACATCTGGAAGCGGGCCAGGAAATAATCCAGCTATCAGGAAACACTGGACCTGATGTTGCTGGACCGGACCGGTTCTGGACGGCTCTTGCATGTAGATGAAACACCAGAAGAGATTGGAGTTTGTTCCTCCGCGCTCTGGCTGTTCCCCTGCTCCAACACACCTGGTTGAATGATTGATTCACCTCTCCAGAGGGATCATGCATGGTTTATTTTAGTTTGTTTATGTTCCTGACGTACACAAATAGATTAACTTTAACCAAGTATGCAGTTTAAATGAGTTGAAATGATCGCTCTTGTCTCGTGTTCACTCGATATAAAACAGTTAAAGCTTTCTTCTGCTACAGAAACATGATTAGCATCGGTTTCATTTGTTGCCCCTTACCTCCATGCAGTAGGTCAGGTGTAGAACAGTAAATTAATAATATAATATCTAGAGTGTTGGATTTTTTTTTTGTTGCTTTATTTAAGATTCCAATATGTTTACACAGATTCAAATAAAAAAAAAACCCAAAATGAATTTTATGCCATCACTGAAATATCATCGACAAACATTTCAATCAAATCATTTTTATTTCTCTTTTTTATCCATCCACCCATTTTCATCCGCTTATCCGGAGTCGGGTCGCAGGGGCAGCAGCCTAAGTCAAGAGACCCAGACTTCCCTCTCCCCAGCCACTTGGACCAGCTCTTCCGGAGGAATCCCAAGGCGTTACCTGGCCAGGTGAGAGACATAGTCCCTCCAGCGTGTCCTGGGTCTACCTTTATGCCTCCTCCTGGTTGGACGTGCCCAGAAAACCTCACCAAGGAGGTGTCCAGGAGGCATCCTGAGCAGATGCCCGAGCCACCTCAACTGGCTCCTCTCAATGTGGAGGAGCAGTGGGTCTACTCTGAGCCCCTCCCGGATAACCGAGCTTCTCACCCTATCTCTAAGGGAGAGCCCAGCCACTCTTCTGAGAAAACTCATTTCAACCGCTTGTGTCTGCGATGTCGTTCTTTCGGTCACTACCCAAAGCTCATGACCATAGGTGAGGGTAGGAACGTAGATCGACCGGTAAATCAAGAGCTCTGCCTTCCGGCTCAGCTCTCTCTTCACCACGACGCCCGGTACAACGACCGCATCGCTGCAGACGCAGCACCAATCTGCCTGTCGATCTCACGCTCCAGCTTTCCCTCATTCGTGAACAAGACTCAAGATTTACCAGTAATCAGTAATTATCAGTAATTTATTATCCTTAACAAGTTTAGACATCTCGCACATCCTGTTATTACAACATTTAAATAGTTCCACACACATGTCAGGTTAAAAAGCACCGAGCCTTGATCCTGCATGCAGCTTTCAAACCAGGTGTGTTGGTGCAAGGAAAACAAAACCAGACAGTCAGGACACATCTTCAGGGGTGGCTCTGTGGGGGGGTCAAGGGTGGGCCAGTGCCCCCATGACAACAAGCTTGGACCGCCCTGTGGCCCCCTGCTGAGGGCGGAGCCTAAGCATTAATTAGTACTGATTTGGACGCAAATATACTTATATAAAGTTGAAAACAGAAGCTGCAACAAATACTTTCATGTCACTATTGTGCAGTATGTACCTGAACTCCTGTTATTAGATGGTTAATTATTTGTTATTTAAACTCTACATGGTCTAGCTCCCCTGTGCCTGTCACAGCTACTCACCCCTACGCCCCCTCCAGGTCATGAAGGTCTGCTAACCACCTACTGCTACGTGTTCCCACACACGGGGGCGTGCTTTTGCTTTTGCTGCTCCCAAACTGTAGAAGGCACTCCCTCTGTTTGTGCGCCAGTCTCCTTCACTGGCACCGTTTAAATCTAACGTAAAGACACATTTCTTTCATCTGGCTTTTGGTCGATGAGCGTTCTTTTAATGCGGCGTCTCTGTTTTTAGTAGCTGCTTTAGATTTTCTGTTTTGATCTTACGTGTTTTTCTTCGTATGACTGTCCTACGTGTGCTCTGTGTGTATGAAGGTGAACTTCAGTCTCGTGGTTTTTATGTTTGATGCTTTTACTCTTTGGTCAGCTGACATGCTGTTTTGTGAATGCACTATCCAAATAACTTCGGTATGGAATGGTAGTAGATACTACAATCTGAGATACTTCAACGTAATGTAAACAGAGCAGCTGTTCCCCGTGTTTGTCTACAGCCTCCTACTGAGTGTTCTTTAGTCCTTCCAGGCTGGATGTCCCCTGCTGAACTGGACTGTTCTTTGACCTGCAGCTGTGTTTGGTGATGATCCTGTGATGGTTTTAACTTTACTCCTATAGCAGTGTAGAATCACTTCAGACACGAGCCGCTCCTGGTGAATTACTGTCTGCCATCAAGGCTCAGAGTAC